ATTAACAACCTGTGTGGTGCAGATAACACAACTTTGCTTGCTGAAAGTGAATACAATTTGAAACACTTACTGATGAAGATCAAAGACCACAGTCTTCAGTATGGATTACACCTCAACATAAAGAAAACAAAAATCCTCACAACTGGAGTAAGCCACATCATGATAAATGGAGAAAAGATTGAAGTTGTCAAGGATTTCATTTTACTTGGATCCACAATTAATGCCCATGGAAGCAGCAGTCAAAAAATCAAATGACCTGCATTGCATTGAGCAAATCTGCTGCAAAAGACCTCTTTAAAGCGTTAAGAAGCAAAAATGTCACCTTGAAGACTAAGGTGCACCTGACCCAAGCCATGGTGGTTTCAATTGCCTCATATGCATGGGAAAGCTGGACAATGATTAAGGAAGACCGAAGAAGAAGTGACTCCTTTGAGTTATGGTGCTGGCAAAGAATACTGAATATACCACGGACTGCCAAAAGAATGAACAAATCTGTCTTGGAAGAAATACAGCCAGAATGCTCCTTGGAAGCAAGGGTGGTGAGACTACATCTCACATACTTTGGTCATGTTATCAGGAGGGTCCAGTCCCTGAAGAAGGACATCATGCTTGGTAAAGTAGAGGATAAGTGAAAAAGAGGAAGACCCTCAATGAGATGGATTGACACAGTGGCTGCAACAGTAGGCTCAAGTGTAACAACGATTGTGAGGAGGGGAGGGACCAGGCAGTGTTTTGTTCTGTTGTACATAGGGTCACTATGAGTCGGAACCATCTCAACAGCACCTAACAACAATAAGCCAATCACTATGGCTAGAAGAAGCCATACTCTGATTGACTTAGGCTTAGGAGCCCATCTGGAACCAATCACAGTATATTACCTGGTTTTGCTTGGCCCCATCAAGACTCTCCCTTGGATCTGAGAGTAGAGTCAATCCCAACTAAATGTCAAGGCTGCTACCAAGGCGGGAGAGTGGAATGAATGTGGGGCATCCATGGGGTGTATTCATCAGGGTCAAAGCCAGGGCAGATGGTGTTTTATGGGATAAAAGAGACCTGGGCCTGTATTTCTGCCCACGGATAGGAAAAGTTTGAAGATGTTGGAGGAAAACGGCCTAAGTTTGATTACGAGCAAAGTCCTAGAGAAGAAGTGAGGATGGAGAGAGATGAGGAAGGGAATAGGTTTGAAATGAGGGGAGGATGGAGAAGAGATCTGTCTGCTCAAGGGAGAGAAGGGATGCCGTCTCTGATGACCTCGAGTCCTCCGTGTAGGAGGAACAAGTGTCTGTGGAGACACTGCTGGCCAGTGTGGTTTCATGATACTTTTGGGGAAGCTCCACTTTGTACTTTTAACAGATTCTTTCCATTGAATAGAATTGCTATCATTTTAAGGGATAGGGCACTTTAAGACTAGGATTTTGATTTGCTTTTCGAATGAATAGAAAGCTTTGACTTGAAAATATGGGTTCCTCATCTGCCTTGCATACTTGTGCAGAATTTGGGAGAACAAATCATGAAATGAGAGGTGTGTGTGCAAAGACCTTTTAAAAGTTATTTGTGGGACTCCGTACAGCATGGTGGTTAAGACTGTGGGCTCTGAAGCCAGGCTGCCTGGGCTCACATCTGCGCTGCGACCTTGGCTCGATCCTGGGCCTCTGTGTGCCTGGCTTCTCTGCTAGAAAGTGGGGACGGTATCAGTACTTGCCACAGAGGCTCTTTCTGAAGATCAGAGGGACGTGTGTGTTTAGGACGGTGACAGCATACGTTGAATACCTTCAGGGTAAAAAGCTGTCGCTCTTTGCACAGCTTCTACGGCGTGCTAGAACGGACTATCTTTAGAAGTGAGACTTGATTATTTTCCTGATTCAAAGCATCCTAAATTTTTACAGGGTTATGGTCTCTGAGTGGTGCAAACGGCTTCCTAGATTACTAACCGAAAGGTTGGTGGTTCTAACCCACCCAGTGGCACTGCAGAAGAAAGTCTGGCCATCTGCTTCCATAAAAATTACAGCCAAGAAAACCCTATGGAGCAGTTCCACTCTGTAACACACACGGTCACCGTGAGTCGGAATTGACTCTACAGCAATGAGTTATTTTCTTTGGTAAAAGAGCATGCAGATGTTTAAAAGGTGTTTTCCAAGTGTTGTCGTTAAGTGTCATCAAGCCGTTTTCGACTCAGAGTGACCCCCATGTGACAGAGTAGATCTGCCCCATAGAGTTTTCTAGGCTGTAATCTTTACGGAAGCAGATTGCCAGGTTTTTCTCCTGTGGAGCCACTGGGTGGGTTTAAACCACCAACCTTTCAGTTACCAGCAGATCGCTTAGATGTTTGCACCACCGGGGTGCCTTGTTTTCAAAGTAGTGAGATACAAAGTGTCATCATTTTTTCCTTTCTGGTGGAAGGAGCAGGAATGAGCCAGCTTAGAGAATCCACTATAGAAAATTTCAGATGAGCAGTCATGGGGGATGGAGTGCCTATATGCCTTAAGGAAAGATTTATTTATTAAGATATTGGGAATGGCCTCCCCCTTCTCACGCCAACACCCTCCTCCCCTTTCCCAGCCCAGATGAGAAGAGCGGCTCAGTGGAAGGTCATCCGGGAACCGAGACGCAGGGAGGGTCTGATGCCACTCTGCATAGGTAGGGCACACTTCCACTAGCCCTCCATATGGTGCCCACACTGCTGCTTGAGGAGGACCTGGCTGCATGTCTCATGTCCTGCCCTGGAATGTTCCGGAAGGCTTAACGTGGCAGTGTTGTAGTTAAAGAAACCACTGCTGAAGTGATGTTATCTTTGGCAGGGCCCCTCCAGCAGGAGGGTGTGGTTGCCACTTGGAGCTTACATTTCCCAGCTAAATATTTCAAATTTCTTTAATTCAGGCCTGGTGTTACAATTATTTGACTCAGTAAAAATCTTCATAAGTAAGAAATAGGCTGGCTTTCCACATATAGGCTTGTCTTAGTCAGGGTTCTTCAGAGAAACAGAAAAAATTACATATACATATACATATACACACACATATACATATATATCACTATACACACATACTTCTCACCTATCGACTCTCTCTTTTGGCAGTTACACAGTGATGTAATTTGGCAGTTATGTGATGATGCAGTCGTCCTCCATTTTGTGATCTGATGTGGTTATCCACCATTTTCACAGAACATCAATTTTTGCATAATGACCTGGTCTTTGGAACCTAACCTTGTCAATAAGTGAGAAGTGTGTGTGTGTATATGTATATATATGTATATATATATATCACTATACATATATGGAGCCCGGTTGGCATAGTGGTTAATGAACTCGGCTGCTACCCAAAAGGTCAGCAGTTCAAATCCACCCACCACTCCTTGGAAACCCTATGGGGCAGTCCTACTCTGCCCTATACGGTTGCTATGAGTCACAATCGACTCAAAAGCAATGGGTTATACATATACATCACCAGATAGGTAGATAGAGACAGACAGACAGATAGACAGACAGTTGTATATGTATACCTAGATATTAACCATTTGTGGGTGGCACAAATGGTTAAGTGCTTGACTACTAGTTGAAAGGTTGAAGGTTCGAACCCACTGGAGGTCCTTGGAAGGCAGGCCTGGCTATCTGTTCCTGAAAGGTCACAGCTTTGAAAATCCTATGGGCAGTTCTACTCTGTCTTATAGGCCACTATGAGTCAAAATCAAATACACAGCACGCAACAACAAGAGTGCTCATCCATGACCTGCCATGTGTCGCCCTCCAGAAATGAGTGAGTTTAATGCAATGGCGGACAGAGGCCCTTCGTGGCTTCTCCAGATACTTCAGTGCATCACACGATGCTGCTCCCTTTCATTGCTTCATATACTTTAAAAATGCTTGAAGCTGTGGAAGACCACCTGACCCCCCGTATCCTTCAAAAAAAAAACTGGGAGACAGTCCATTCTCAGTTCTTGAATGTAAATATTCATCAACAACCTTAAAAACTTAGATTGCTATACATTTTTGTTCATTTAATTCCTTGTGACTTTAATATATGAATCTGGTGTATTCTTGAAGGTTGAAATATTGTTAGTAAAGATTTTATAAAACATTTAATCCTAAAAACAGGGCATGTTATTGTCAGCGGTCATCCAGTAAGGCACTTGCTCATGGCAACCCCACATACGATGGAACAAAACGCTGCCCAGCCCTGTGCCATCCCCATGTTCAGTTATGGATCCATAGGGTTTTCATTGGCTGATTTTCAGAGGCAGACTGCCAGCCCTTTCTTCCTAGTCTGTCTTTATCTGGAAGTTCTGCTGAAATCTCTTCACCATCATAGCAACACATAAGCCTCTACTGACAGATGGGTGGTGGCAATGCATGAGGTGCATTGGCTGGGAACTGAACCCAGGTCTCTTGCATATGAGGCAAGAATTCTTCCACTGAAGAATTCACCACTGCCCCCCACCCCCACCAAGCATGGCATGTACCTACCTCATAAATAGCTTTGAAGAGATTGTGATTTTAAATCCTGTGAGATGTTGTAGCAGAAGACCATATGCAGAAGAAAACATACTGAAATAGATACTATCAGGGCAAAGTAAACCCAGCCTCCTTAGAAAATAAGTATCCCACTCCCTTTCCTTCTCTGAAATGCCTTGAAAAGAGCAAACGTTTCCTAAAGGAGCCTTGCCATACACAACACTGCAGTGTACCCTTGAAATTCAAATGCACAAGAGACGTGTGCATTTTTTTTTTTTTTTTAGTTGTTTTCCTGTTTCCTAAACAGAGCTTTGCCCTGGGTAGGCGACCCCCGGCCTACGTGGGGTCAGTGGCCGGGTGTCTGACAGGCTCAGGCAGGGCTGCAGGGAGCTTGGGAACTGGACCAGCCCGGCTCACAAGTATGAAGAGAATGTTGAGAGAGGAAGTGGCGGCTGTGATTCAGCATGAGTCATCCCGTTCTACTGAGAATGAAGACGGAGCCCGAGGTGTGCGCCTTTTTTTTTTTTTTTTTTTTTTTTTGTCTTAATTGTGTGGACATCATTGGGAAATGGAGACAAATTAGTAACTGTATAGCTGCTGCTTGTTTAGTTCCAAGCTGACATTCTAGGCAAGCTCGGCCTGAGCCTGCATGTGTCTTGCTTTCTTCACGGCACAGTTCCTGCGACAGTGGAGACATCAGCTTCTCCCTGGTGAGTATGTTTCTGTCATTTTTTATGATCATTTGTGCAGTTTGCCTCTGAGTCTGAGCTGTGTTGGAGGGGTTGTGTCCTGGAGTGGACACTGTGTTTCGTTCAGGTCTTGAAGATGTATAATTTGGAAAAGTGGCTCCCTCTGCCCCCACCCTCGTAATGGCTATAATTTAGCCTGGTTGTCTGTAGAAATTTCCTAGTAATCAATTGTGGGTGTACAGGTCCATCACACATCGTGTTGTCTTGAAAAACATAGTGATGTTTGAGACACCTGGGCAGAAGCCCAAGTTTAGAGATGGAGGTGGGTGTACTGAGCTAACCCAAGGGTGCTGAGGTCGGGTCCCTTTCAGCTCCTCGGGGGGAGAAAGGAAGGCAGTCCCCAGGAGTTTCTGTCTGCGTGGGCTGTGCTGCCCAGTTTAGCACAAGAAACACAATAAAGAGGCAGAATGTTGGCTGCACCCTCTAAAGGCATGTGAATGATCCTGGGAGCTGATTTTAGGTCCTTTCCTTTTCCTTAAGCTCGAAAGTCAGATTGTGAAAAAATCACCAAGCAAATGTGCTGGGGGTGGGGGAGAGAACGGAGTCGCGGTGCCCGGCCTGACCTGGATGGGTGTTTCACAAGCCGTTATGATTCGGATGAAGCTGAGCTTTACTGTCAAGTAAAAGACAGGAAATATTTTTTTAAATGTCGCTCTAGTTACTGTAAGTGAAACAGTTAAAATGTCATAAATACCTTATGATAAACATTTTGAATTTGCTTAAAAAATAACATTTCAGTAAGCAGGGCATGACAGGAACGTTTTCAGCGCAGCCATTTGAGTGCGTGGGCTTCCTGGGTTAATAATGAGTCAGCACCCATTTCTAAAATTGGAGCAGCTCAGAGAAGCTTCAGTCGGCCCCTGAACACAGCCTGGAGGCTTGCCGGCCCCCTAGGAGTGTGTGCTGTTTGGTCTTGGGTTAAAATCAGCTGGAATACCTCCCCTGTTTGGGGGACCCACTCTCAGCTTTGTCCCGGGTGCTGTGGCTGAGAGGTCTCTGTTTCAGGACAGGCACATTTGACTTCCTCGGTAGCTCTTCTGGCTGATGTGATGACTTTTAGGTTCTGTCTGAATGGACCTGGTTTAATACACAGTTTGTTAAGTGAAAAATCCAGTGTTTATTGTGGCCTAGGGTGGCCCAAGGCCAGGGGCTGCATCTAGAATACTGTGATATTCTCCCATCTGCCACACTGGCTGAGCGACGACGTGCCAGGGACTCCATGGGCTTCAAAGCTGACGCTCCACACGGAGCACAGAGCCTGGGAAGGTTAAGTCGGCTTCAAACCAGAGAGCAGGATTCCGAGGAAGAAAAACCCGCGCGAACCTCACTCTTCTAATCTATACAATGACAGGAATGTTGAGAAAATGAGGAAACGTAAAATAGCTGCAGTTGCACCCCGCGGCTCAGGCCCAGATGCAGCGGTCTTTGAATCCATCCCCCAGTCGATTTGGGTTGGCCTTCTCAGAACTGCACAGGCTCAGATAGTGTGGAGGGAGGGGGCTTCAGACCATGACACCACCTGCCTCAGACAGCTGCTGTGAGGACTCGGTCAGTCAACATCTGCGAAGTCCTAGAATAGGGGCTGGACACAGAGGGGCTCCATCAATAGTAGCTACGTCTGGTTCTGCTGCTTACCTGGTGTATAACAAAATACCACAAATCGGGTCCCTCGTAAGGACAGAAATCTACTGTCTCACAGTTCTGGAGGCTTGAAGTCCAAATCAGGGTATTGGCGGTGTTGGGCCCTTCTGAGGCTCTGAGAGACAGTTGGTTCCAGGCATCTTCTGAGCTTCTGGTAGCTTCAGACATCCCTTGGCTTGGAGCTACAGCATCATATGCTGTCCTTCCTGTGTCTCCCTGTCTCTGTGTCTCTTGCCCTCTTTTTAGAAAAGGACCTAACTGATCATTCCTCAAAGACTCTATTTCCAAACAAAGTCACTTTCACAGACACTGAGGGTTAGGATTTCAACATATCTTTTGGGGGGACACAACTGAATCCACAGCACATTGAAGATGTTGGGGCTTGCAGCCGTCAGTTAGCTCCATGACTTTTTCAAGAAAGATCCTGTGATTGCAATGCAGTAACAGTTGTTCTCAAGCTGAGTCAAAGCCACACAGGTGTCAACACAGAGCTCTCAGTGAAGCAAGGTCTCCCAAGATCGCCATTTGGTCTCTCTTGGTGAATTATCTCTGTAAGAGCTCAAAGATATCCCATCTTTATGGCAAGAAGGGCCTGCAAAACCCAAAATGTTTTAGGCGATGACTCAGCAATTCATGCACACTAGCACTTTCTCATGGTTCCGCTTCAGAGAAGGAGCCAGAACCGAGTGTGTGTCTGGCTGGGTCGCAGCTCTTTACACCCTGCTGGATGAGCGGTGTTGGGAAACGGCTTTTAGATGGGAATCTTTATTCTGGAAATTGATTGCATTCTTTCAGGTGGATTAAGGCGGTTGTAGGAATTCTGGAAGTTGACTTACCTCTTCGCCGTTTGACCTGTGGTGAACTGATATCGTTACTTTTATAATCTGGAGAAACAATCCACGAGAAAGAAAATAAGCTCATGGATATGTATGAAAACAGAGCATCTGTTACCATGAGTTGCTGCCTTGTCGCATTTTTCCAACGACCGAAAGAAGCCGGGTCTAAGTATAACGAAGGCAGGGAATTAAAGAGGAAGTCATTCTATAGCAGAACAGTTTTTTTAAAGGACATGCGCTGCAAAAGGAAAACACTGGCAGTGTGATAGTGTGATGCTGTAAGAAAATTGCTCAGTGCCCTGTGGCCATGGTTCCCTCAGCCCAGGGACCAGCCTGTGACTTGCTGGCCCTGTGTCCCACTCTCGACTCCTTGCCAATCCCTGACTTGGGCTCTCATTACCTCCTGCCCAGAAGGTGTCCACAGGGCCCGCCTGGTGTCCCCTGGGCTGCAGAGTGCGTTAAGCGTCCGAGCACGCGTAGGCAGGTCACTCTCAGCTCACAGAGCTCGTGGGTGATCCCTGCATCCTATATGCAGCAAGCCTGCTCACTGGATGCCCGGCCTACCTGCCACAGCTCTGACCATCCCGTACTCTCTGCATCAAGGCAGACAAGCTACCTTCCTCTTTGAAATCACCGCAGGACTTGAGTAGCACCTTTCCCCACACCTCCTGTTTTCCTTGGGCATTGTTTGCATGCTTGTCTTACTCCCATTCTCTTGGTGTGAAATGTGTCCAGAAAGGGCCAGGGAGGGGTTGAGAAGCTTCCAAAGTCACGCGCCTGGGTCACAACATCTTTCCCGGCACTCACAACTGTAAGGCCTGGGGTAACTTACTTAACTTCTTTGTGCCTAAGTTCACCATGCTCGTGGGCTCTCGTGAAGATTTCATGAATTGGTGCACAGAAGTTGCAAGGGGACTCAATAACTGTTAGGCACCTATTTACTTATTCAGAAATATAACCAGACCCTTTGTAGCTCCTCGTGGGCGGGCCCTCTGCCCTGTGGGCAGCCATAAAGAATTGACTCCCATGCCCCTGAATGGAGAGCCCTTCGGTGTCATCAGTTCCATGGTATGCTCTGCATTTGCAGGAATATTATTCATTATTCAGTTGGGTAAATAGGAAATGCTCCCCTGTTCTCTCCTGGAAAAGCTGTGGTTCTAGAATCCATCATCATTAACCCCATTGTCATCGTTATCACAATAAGAGCAGGCCCCATTTTATTCAGCTCCAACCACGTGGTAGTAACTTTACATTCCAAACCAAACCACACCAGTTGTTGTTGAGTTGACTCTGACTGATGGCAACCCCGTGTGTGTCAGAGTAGAACTGTGCTCCCTTGAGTTTTCAATGGCTGATTTCTTGAAAGTAGATCTCCAGGCCTTTCTTCCAAAGTGCCTCTGGGGGGACTAGAACCTCCAACCTTTTGGTTAGTAGCTGAGTGTGTTAACCTTTAAGCTCTCCATCCCCCTGCTAGCACACACCTTGGAAGATAAGAAGGACGACAGGTTACTTGACTCATTCAAGGTCTGAGGACTCCCAAGCAGGTGTATCAGACACAGCTGTTGCTTCAAAGAGTGCGTCAGTGCGGGGAGCCCCTCGTTCCCACTCAGGAGAGGAGGTTGAGGAAAAGAAGCAGTCTTCCTCACGAGAGCAGGGGAGTCCTGCTCAGCCAGTCCCTGAGGAGCACTGGGGTAGGGGATGGAGCCAGTCCTCAGGCCCAGGTTAGAAATCTAGCCAGACTGAAGCCAGAGGCCAGAAAATCCAGGACTGCTGGCCTTGGACCTGCCTGAAGGGTGGAAGCAGGTGGACTCTGTGCTCACGCTTCCTGTCTAAAGCCGTGCAGAGTCAACTTACGGTGATCTAGGTTCTGGTTGTTTGAAAATCATCACAGTACAAGGAGATGACTCACATTGAAAAAGTTAAGTAACATACACTTAAAATGAAACCCAAGATGAACATGATCTTGTTTTCCCTGCCAATTCCAAAGAAAATTCCAGAGCCTGCAGTGCCTCGGAAGCCAAGTCCTCACACTCCATTCTGCAGGAGGCTCAAAAGAAGAACCAAATGCGTCTTTTTATCCATCTGCCAGCTCTGGTATTGCCTCGTAAAGTCAAGCATAGCATGTCCTGTAAATCTCCTCCCTGAGTATTTGTTTAAGCTCTGCACGCCGAGAATTACCTGTACTATGTCAGTCAGTTGTAAATGGTGCTAATTTGTGGGGAGGTTTTTGCTAAAATTGCCAGGATCTCTCTTTGCCCACAGTGCATGGGTGGGTAGTGGTGTGCATGGCCCAGGGCTGTGGGGTAAGGGTGGGGCTCCCACAGTTTCCAGGAGGGTTCTGGTTAGACCACAGAGCTCGGTCAAGGAAGTCCAACAGGAGGAAACTGGCCTACAGGAAGAAGACATGGGCGGGAAGCTCAGCGGGTCTCAGGGAATTCCTTCTGATCAAAAAACTTGACTTGATTGCATATGGTGTCATTGGAA